AGTTTGAGCTGCAGTGGCATAAAGCTGGTGTTGGCAAGTGCAAAAGTCACATACTTTGGATTAGGGGTTGGAATTTTTGCACATATCCTGGCATCTGGCATTACACTACTCCACCCAGAGCCCCTGTGTTTTGTACTTTATGTATTGCAGAAGATCCAAGTCCTGCTTTCCCTTACAGCCTTACACCACAAAAAAAAAAAACCAAAACTGTTGCGATTCCAAAAGAGGTGATGCTTGGCACACACAGAAATACCTGCTCCTGGAGCCACAGAGGGCTTTTCCCACTCCCTGCTAGGGTGTCAGACAAGGTCCCCATGGGGTCCGTAGCTGGTGCTGGGAGAAGTTCTCACCCACTTCTGCCTTCCAGGAGCCTTTCAGAGCCACCTGCCTCATGATGGTTGGGCTGCAGTGCTTCTCCTCTGTCTTGGCCCTCAGCTTTCACAGGCAGAGGGATGACTTGAGTAGATCTTTATTTGCCTTGTGGCTAGAGGCTGCTTATTGTTCTGTTGTTTTTTGCTCTTCAGCTGCTAGTATTTCACACTACTCCAGTGTGACTTTCTAGTTTTCAGGCCTATTTATTCTTGCTTTAGCCTTCAAGGGTTGTATGGAAATGTCTTAAAGCAGCTTTGCTTCTGGAAAAAATCACAACGTGGAACTGAATCTTGGAGCACTAGAGCGTGTCCACCTACAGTGTTGTTTTTCTGTCCCAGCCTAAGATGTTTGTGATACTGAGATCTTCTCTGGTGTTTTTTGTTTTTTTTTTTTTTTTTTTTTTGGTGATCTCAAAACTTTGCCCTGCTGAAGAGCAATTTGGGCAGTGTGTGACATTTTAAACTAAATGTGATCCACTTAACAGCCTGCCTGCTGAGAGGCTCTTACTTGTCAAGGTTTAAGTAATTTTTTTCGGTAAGGGAGTTTTGTATGGATGGAGGTGAAGGTGTGTTGAATTTGTTTGTTTCATCTGATGCTTGGTTAAGTCTCTAAATCCTTAATCCCAGTTATGGTTTACTTCTGATAATGTAAACTGTGTAACTCTCATGAATGTTTACCCCTTTCTTTTGGAATGAACCCCGTTCATTTTGGAATGAACTTTTCCACTTCTTTCTTGTGGTTGTTAGATGTTCAGAACTAGAATTCAGATTACCAAAATTCACATTTAATAAAGCCATTCCCTATTAAACAAATAAAGTCAGTTAATAGTCTTGATGTTTTCCCCCTATAAGCCTTCATACTAAATCAACCCTGCCTCAAACCTTGAGTAATACTCCAGAGATGCTGGCCTTTGGAGTGAGGTTTGCAGGGCTCAGGAGTCCAGTGCGAGTTTTCTATCTACAGACGTATGTGAATAGGTGATGAATCAGCAGTAGTTTGTCTCAGAGCCAAGAAACATAATTTATTGCTGTAAGACCATTTTTTTCTGTCTAACAATAAAATGATTTTCTGAACATTTAGGCAGAGCAATTTTTGATTAAAAATACTTTTGCCAGTAGATATGGTAGTTGAATTATGATCTGTGGGCACTGGAGATTAAGTACTTGTTGTGGGGAGCTCTTTGGAACTAAGCCTGTGAAAAGGGTGCATTATGCTGCAAATTATGAAATATTGATTTCTGTAACAGTCTACAGGCATCAATGAATTTTTTAATATGCTAGTAAATAATATGAAAGAGATTAATATCTCAACAGCAGAAGTAATTACAAATATGTTTAAATAGCATATGCATTAGATTTGTGGATACTGAAGAAGTTTCAACTTTGACCTTGTGTTGAGTACCACGGACTGGATAGGGTTGGAGGGGATCTGGTCCAGCCTTTGCTGAAGGAGGGTCCCCTGGAGCACATCAGGTTTGTGTCCAGATGGTTTTTGACCATCTCCAGGGAAGTATCCAAAACCACCTAGAAGCTCTTGTCACCTTGGACTTTTGCAGCCGAAGTTCCCCGAGCTTCCTGAGGCCTGTGATCTGTGTTGGCTGCTGGATGTTTGGCTTTGGAGATCACAGCCACATGCCAGAGGAAGCGAGGCGTGTTCTTTACAAAGCTGGCATTCTTCTGCATCACTCTCAGGTTTCCTGGCAGCCTGCTCTGAAGCAGCTCAGTTAAGCACAGTTTACCCTCTATAGCAAAGCTGTTGCTTGCACCAGGGATGGTTTCTTTACAATGGTTTAAAGAAGTCGTTACTGCAAAGTGTTTGCTCTCGGCATTCATTATGAATTTGCTTCTCCGCAGAGATTAGCAATTTGAATGTGTCGTTACTTTTTCTCTCAGTGTAAATATTTTAGAGCAATAACTTCCTCCAGAAGAATGAAGGAAATGGATTTTGCTGTCTTAATTTTGTGTAGAAGGAAGGACGATTTTCAAACGTTATCCTTAAGCATCACTTAGATATCCATGTGACACACATTCTTGATTTGCTGCCTTACTTTATTCATAAGACAAAATTAATGCTTTTCTACAGACTTCAGTCTTTAAATTTCGTTAGCAGGCATGATAACAACTGGGTCCTTAGGTCACTGAAAATGAGCAGCCAGCTTTAGTTATAGCTTATGAATTTTTTTTTTTTACATTTTGAGGGGTTTATGCAGTAGCAGAAGTGGAACTGCTTACTGCATATGTGTGAACTCTTGCTGGTACTAAATAAACAAGAAAAGGTACTGTATTGGGTGAAAATGCAGAGGTACAATTTGGGCCTTGGTTTCCACAATTGTAAATGCAACTGGAATACCAGCTCTGGTGTGACTTCCAGCGAGTAACCTAAGAAAATGTACACCATTGACCTCAAGGTCACAAAAAGCATAGCTTAGTTAAAGAGCAAGAAATGCTTGTGAGAAGCCTGCGTAAAGGATGGGGATGGGGGAAGGAAGCTGCCTGATAGAGACAGATGTTCATTCCTGAGTGCAGGTAAGTGTGAGCGAAAGTCTCTCACCCCTGGGTCATGTGGAGACTGTCCTTGTGACCAAATTCAAGGCATGCAGACATATGTCCCTTCCTAGCCCTGAATGTTTATTTGTTTTTATGATTTTTGCTAAAGTATCTCAAGGATATTCGTAGTACATTAGTTTTTATTGTGTTCTGCTTTATTCTTTGCGTTGCAATAACATCAAAATGTCTTGCAAGGCTGGCAGAGGATATTATCATTCAGGAACAGTGCCTAAAGTCCCTCAGGGTAGAAACTCAAATGTTGGCTATTGCAGGTTTGCCTGAGGCTGCCAGGGTGTTTTCCATCTAGGTTGGATACTGGCCTAGGATGAGCCACGTAGTCATCCCATTACTGATTTATGGCTGAAACAGTTTAGGACACAGTTGCTGGCCTGATATTTCTGAGGGTGAAAAGTGAGGATGCTGTAAGTAGGTGAGTCAGATGAATGCTTTCAAATTAGCTGTTCAAGTTTTGTATAACTAATGGAGCAGTTAAAAAAAAAATAAAGGCAACAAAACCCTCCCAAATGCAAAAGATCCGGAAGGGTTTGAGATTAGGGGACTGCTCAGAAAGTTTTGATTATTGTTAAGGTCAGTTAACTCCAACAGATCCTTTACAGGCTTGGTGAAGTTTCAGTTGTGGTGTGAAAGCAAGTGGCAGTGGCATATGGCACTTAGAACATTCAGGAGCTCCTCTACTGAGAATAAAGATGATGGCTATGTTTTTACTAAGATTATTTTTTTTGAAGGCTCAAAATGAAAGACTCCCCATTCCAACCTTCAGCCCTCTTTAGCTGTAGTAAGACGTTCATGCTGCAATCACACACAGCTTGTGACCACATTACAAAGCTGCTTTAAAATCAAGTAACTTAACTGTTGCCTGAATATTTAATCAACTTTTTGTCGGGGTTTTTATTGCCAGCATCAGATCCCATAATGTAAACCATTTGTGCTGTAGATATACCCATGAAAAAAAAGTAGAAAAGAAAAAAAGGAGATAGAAACCCATTCTTCCACCTTTCATATCCCAGCTGAGCTTGAAATTAGCAGCCATTAAGTGTAATGCCAAGTGTCAGTTGTGCAAAGGAATGTGTAATAATAGTGTTTTGGATGCAACAGTGCTTTAGAGCAAACAGCTTATATTTTCCAGCAGTTACTGTTGCAAAGTTCATTCCTTTCTTTGGTTCTTTCATCTACAAGTTATATCTGCAGAATAAAATTGCAAAGTCAACTCATGCTTTGCAATTACTTAAATTAGGTGATGTAGTAAACTCAACAAAGCTAGCAGAAGATAGTTATCTGTATAAGGTAGATTTAAGTAGTACTGATCTGGTCCTTATCATTCTCTTTGAGGCCATAATTTTGTGTGTGTGTTTCATCTTAAAAAGTTGTCTTTGGTGTCAGATTGGTGCTAAAATTGTATATTTCAAATATACATCCAGTACCAAAATTGTTAAATCTGATAAACTTTGATTTATGCCTAATTTGTTAATCTTATTCTTTCCAAGAACTTCTGTTTTACTGATATATAAATATTTAGTCTTGGAATGTCTCTTCCATATATGTGTGTGCATACATATGTGTTATGTATATATTCATAAAAAAAAATAATTCATGTAGGTAGAATGTAGGTAATGTCTCTTAAGTGCTTTCAGGTAAAGAGAGGGATTCCTCATGCAGCAGATCAAACAGTTTATCACATTCTTAATTCTGTTTCAGAGTAAAGGGATAGATGGGATAAAAGTACTTTTGGATAAACACAGCTTATTTTGGTAGTCAAGAAACACAGAAGATTTGAAGATGGTCATGCACCTAATTATATATCAGAACTATGGTCTCTTTGATCCCTCAGAACAATATGGAAGCTCATGAAGTTTGTGCATTTGGGCTGAGGGGATAAATCAGTGATGCTGAGAAAAGCGTTTCATGTTTCTGCAGCAGGTTTGACAATGTCCTTGTAAAGCAACCCAGTGCTGTCCCATGTGCCACTCACTCTTTCTGTACTTGAGACCAAACACACATTTCATTTAGTTCTCAAGTGACCAATGTTACCTTATTTCCTTTGCTTTGTCTCCTTTCCTCTAGCTATTACAGCTTCTGGAGTCTGAAACCATGCAGCTAGAAGCCTTTCTGGAGTGGAAGCAACTGGAACCAGTTTATTGGCAGTGGATGGTAATGAATCAAACTGATTTTGAAATGTGCAACTTTCTTGACTCTAACATAGCTAACTACGTCCAAAGGCCCCTTTCCACAAAATAAGTGTTGCAAGCCAACTGTTCAACAGCACCTGAGAAAAAGTCAAAAAGCCTTTGGTAAAATAATGTTTTCTTTGTTTTCTTTGGTTCCTGTTTTCTTCAGTAGGACTCACGCAGCTAAGCTGAGGAATTGCAGAACAGAATGGCAGAATTTCATATAGTTAACACAAATGAAAAGGTCTGATCTTCATCTTGTTAATGGTTTTCAAACATAGCAATCGCACATTTTCTTAAAATTAAATGGCTTTTCAGAAGAGGGCCTGTGAGCTTTATTGTAGTCTTGAGAACAACTAAATTTGCAAGCAGCTGATATTGAAAACAACTTCATTTTTCCCAGCCAAATAGTGTGTTGACATTGCTGATTTCCCCTTGAACTGTGTTGAATGATCATAAGAAAATCAATAAGCCTCTCTCTGTGCATCCTGTGATTTCTCAAGTAAGTGCAAACGATGCCATCCATCTCACTTCTCTCTACGCCTTTTGCCCGTTCACTGTTGCTGAAATAATTCTTTAGAGCACCACATTAGCTGTATGAGTTTACAAAATTTTGATAATCAGTGAGCTGACTGGTAATTGCCCATATGCCTCCTTCTACACCAAAATCAAGGCACAGGGCAGTGTAAAATTACCTCACTTGAAGGATGCTTCCAACTGCCATTAGTTCTCTAACGGCTCTTGCTTTACATGTTTACCATCTTATGCTTTTTTTGGAAAGCATCAACACTAGCATAGGCCTGGCTCCTAATAGGCAAAATATAACTGCAAGTGTTACGGCCAAAATATTTGCCTTTGGCATGTTGCTCAGTGTGGGGAGTGCTAGGGAGCTTCCTGGAGTTAAGTCCTAAATAAATACTCGGAAAAAAAAAAATCAACTGACCGGCACATCTTTTTAAACTATTCAATGTGCTGGATGGTGAATCTGTCTTTTGTTTCACTGGTGGTTGTTCCCAGATGCAGTAGGATGTATGGGAATGAGGTGTGCTTTGAAAATACAGTGGTTTTCACTTCCCCCTTAACCTGTGTTTTGCACTGCTGATCTGATGGATGGGATGGTTCTTGCATAGCTACTGCCAGGTCTTTCCTGATGGTTGTGGGCAGGAGCATGGCAGAGCATGATATCGCTGCAGCAAGTGGAATGACTGCAGTAATTATAGAACATCCTGAGTTGGAAGGGACCCACAAGGATCACCGAGTCCAACTCCTGGCCCTGCATAGGACAACACTGTGTTCCTGACAGCATTATCCAAATGTTAATGTTACTTCAAAATTTTGTCATTTAATGAATTTAAACTATGAACAAAAAACCCCTCCAAAACCCAACGAACCCAAGAAAGCTTTGTTTCACTCCCATGCAGTTTGTTACCCTGTCAGTGTCCCCCCCAGGTCTGTGTTCTCATGAGCTGGGCCTTGGTCAGCATGAGCTGCTGGCCTCAGTGATGCTTTGTGCCAATTTGCAGTGCTGATGCTTGCTGAGAAAGGAGGTTTTGTGGGGTGTCTTATGTCATCTTAGCTGTCTTATGAAGTTTTTTTTCTTGTATGAGCCTAAAAATCTCTTGCTGTGAATTAAGCCAGAGTTTTTAACCTACCTTCAGAGAAAAGAGAGAAAGAGGCGAAAAAATAAAAATTCCCATCCTCTTTATAGCAATCTTTTATATAAGTGAAGGCTGTTAGCATGTCACTGCCTTCCCAGTCCCTGTTTCTAGGCCAAGCAAAAGTTCTGATGTCTTTATGTCTCTTGGTAGGCCATTCTTTCAAGCCTGTGATGGTTGCTGCTGCTCTCATATAGGACTTTCCCACCCCTTTGTCTGTGTTTAACTTCAGGTGCCTCACCTGTGTGTCAGTATTACAGTCATTGCTCTTTTATCACAGAGACTTGTGTTTACACTTGCTAACATGGTACTTGACTTTAGCAGTGTGATATTGGTGACTTCTGGCTTTCTGATCTCATCCAGCAGTGTTGCTGCTGAGCCAGTAATTATGCACTTGGTTTATCCTCACCTGCATGTAGACCATGCTGTTCAACTGCTGAATCTCCTCTCAGTGTTTTTAAATTACTTCTTCAATTACTGAAGATAATTCTGAATGCAAATTATGTCCTTAAAAGTGATTATGACTTCTCCTATTTAATGTCATCTTGATAACAGTATGGAAATAAATATTTAATACTCTGTAAGTGAGGCCTGGCTCCTTTAGTTATGCTCTGCTACCCTGGCTTGAAAACTGTGTGTTTCTACACAGTCTGTGCACCAGAGTGAATATATGCATTTCAAGGACTCTGAAGGTTTTGTTTATTTGGGTAGGGTTTTTTGAGTATTTGAAATATCAGTTGCTATCTTGGAAGGCGCTTGCAGAATTAATTACCAAGCCAACTAGATGGTCACGATCAGCTGGAGCTGACAGCTCCTGACCAGCCTGGAGCAGGGATCTCTTGGGGTTCCTCAATTTGTGGATTTTTCCAAGGGCACAAGTGAGCCCATGGGTGTTAAAGCTTGCTATGCCACATATCAGGTGAGGCTCTCCTGTGCAGTGTAAGCACTTACCTCCTTCCTGATCATCACTTTGTTACAAAAAGCCATAAAAGTGCATCCAGCCTCAGAGTTTGAGAGGAAAGGGCATATCTAGAGCTGCTGCAGTAACTAATCACCTCCATCTCATGAGTGTTACTTCATGCTTTAAAGCAGTGGAGAGTAGCTGACTGTGCAGTGCTTTTTAAAATAAGCTAGGTTAGCAACATAAGTTTTCTGTTAACTTGGAAATGTGTTACAGTGAACTGAGGGGGTTCTCTCTTAAAATAACTCTGAAATTGTGGAGCAACTGTATATTGAGATGGCAGCAGTGAATTCCTAGTTATGAATTACCAGGAAGATGCGGGGGGAACCATTTTAGCTCCTGCTGAAAAGTGACTTTTGTTGTTTTTGCCTTTAGGAAACTGTGTTGGATAATATGGCTGAAGAGGGAAAAATGTGCAAGTCCCAGGACACTCATGCAGAGAAAAGAAGGCTGCCAAAGCTGACCTCCTGCTGCCCCTGGGCTGACAACCTGGCTGGGCAAATTGACAGATTATCCAGAGACCTAATGACTCTCCAGGACCAACTGCATAAGCTTGTAGCCCACCGAAAGGCTGCGTGGTGTGAGAAGGTGAGGCTTCAGGTGGTGTTCATGATCATTAGTGATTCCTAAGATCTTGTATTTTTCAGCTCTCTCACTTTGGCCCCTTCTGGGGCAGCCTCCCCGTTGCTGCTCTGTGTCAACCTTGCTGCAGTCACGATGTCAGATCTGCAGTTACTTGCCTGTTTATGCCCACAGCGTGCCAAGTGCTCTTTCAAACACAAAGTAGGCATCTGTCCCGGAGAAGCAGCATGCTGAAACAAAACAAGTGTTCTTTAGGAAAGGAAGGCTTCAAAAGAGAGGAGAGGAGAGGAGAGGAGAGGAGAGGGGAGAGAAGGGGAGGAAGAAGGAAATCATGGCAGCCCCCAGAGGGGATAGATGCAGTAGGCTGAAAGCAGTAATGATTAAAAAATAAAGAAAGGTATTCACAGGGAAAGAAGGGTGGGAGAGGCCAGGGCTTGTCATCTTTCACTGAATTAGGAGTCTTTGAAATGTCTAATGGGGGAAGGAATAAGAGGGATTTGAAACCTGTGAAGTGAGAGAAGAGACTAGGCACAAGATCTGATGGAAGAACAGACTGGTTGTGGGAGGCTGGCTGTGGAGGAAAGCAGGTGATGTGAAGGAAGTGTACATGGTAGTCGCTGTCATAAGGATGGGGAGATACTGGGAAGCACCCGGAGGGGGTGGTGGGGCATAAATAAAGGGGATGTTAATGTAGATGTAAAAGGTGTATCTGAATATGGTGACACAAGGAGAAAATACAGTGAGGATGCAGGCATAAAAAAACCTAATGATTCTTCTCAGGCATCAAGAGGAGAGAATCACAGAATCGTAGAATCAGCCAGGTTGGAAAAGACCTCTGAGATCGTCAAGTTCAACCCTTGATCCAACACTGCTGTGGTTACTAGACCGTGGCACTGAGTGCCACATCCAGTCTCATCTTAGAAACCTCCAGGGACAGAGAATCCACCACCTCCCTGGGCAGCCCATTCTGTCTGATTACTCTCTCTCTGTAAAAAAATTTCTCACCACACTCTCACTGCCGCACCTGTTTGCCACACTCCCTGCAGCAGTTTAAATCTCCCAGAAATGATCTCAGCTTCCCCCTCCCCAATCAGCTGTTTAGCTCTCAGGGCAGCTGGGCTAGGCTGGGCAGAGAGGAGGATGACAGAGAATTTATGATACGTCTGGATGGAGAAAAATGAGAGAAAGAGTTTGGGCAGATAGAGCAGCAGGAAAATTGCTGTTTCACTATTTTGTGTCTGTATTAACTCAGGAGAGGGTTTTTTTGCTTGAGGTGTGAGACTGTTTTCTTTTCAGGAGAGAGGGGAGTATGTGCTTTTAGATTGAAGTGCTGGTAGACAGGATTGTAGATCAGCTGACAAAATGAAGATGGCAGGTTGTCAGATCAAGAAGTATTTGCCCAAGAGTTCAAAACAGGTCTGGCGTGGAAAAAGTGTGTGGAGAACTAATCACTCTCTTCCACTGTAAGGATAAGGAACTAATTAGGATCGGTTGGACAGGGACAGGCACAAGGAGCTGCTGCTTCATACAGAGTACAAAACCTCTTCCCACAGGGCACTGTGGATATAAGCAGTGTACATGGATTCGAAAATGTTGTACACATCCTTAGAAGTTGAAATCCATCAAAGGCTATAAAATATGCAGATAAAAATTACAACCTTATGAGTTAGCAGGAGAACAAATCATTGCAGGCTGTGGGAATATTCTGAAGAAGTATCTCCATGTATTTGCCTTCGTCTGACAGTGTTCTCTAGGCATTTCTGTCGATCACTGTCAGTGATGGGGTACTGGACTAGGCAGATCTCAAGTACCATCAGATTTGGTTGCTTCTGTGGCAAAACGGACGTGACTTTTGTGGGACAGCTCAGACCTAGAATTCTAAAAATAAAATTTGCAGTGTGTGATTTCTAAAGCAAAATATGCTCGGACTTCTCTTCTATATATGCTGTTAAATATGATGTTAGATATTATGTAATATCACACTGAAATTTTTTTTATGCTTAAAAGATTTAAGTCCAGAAAGATTTAACTGATGATTTCTTCTTTGAAATAGATGCACTGATTGGATTTGAATAATGGTTGGTCATGTTCCAGTGTTTCTGAGATTCTGTGGATATGATGAGTTTGTGTCTGGGTAATAGATGGAGTGCACCTTAAGCATGTTGTTAAAAGGATGTATTACTGCAAATGCCTTCTCTTCTACATGCCCTGAAACAGAATTGTTTTGTAATGCCACATGACAGCATTTTTTGGAATGCTGGGGGTCAGATGACTCTCCATCAATCCTCTTTATGTCAGGCCTTCCTTTGCATAGTGATGCTGCTTATGTGATGCTTTCTGCCTGTGGTCTTTTTTCCCTGCAGCCAGGCTGCTTGCTGAATGCAGGCTCCTCTATCAAGCGGATGTTTCTGACCCCTTCAGTCTTCTCCCTGGAGAAATAAGCTTATCAAATCTTTCCTTCTATATTATTTTTTAAATCAAACTGAGACAAGATACAGCAGTGGCTAAAGTCATTATCACTAACTTTGTATCTTGCAGTACTGAGACATCTGGAAATTATCTTGGCTCTTACAGGCATGCCCAGCTGAGGGACATTGTAGCTTATTACAACTCTTGTGCCCACTACCTTGTACTTCACAAAGAACATGATGATAATCCATAGAGTATTTGTGTGTTTTTACACACAAATTTGTGGGCCTGATGCCTGTGCCAAACAACTGGGTAGAAACTGTTCTGAACAACAGAATTGAGGGCACAGCATTCAATGTGATGTACTGGAGAAGAGACAGCACAGTTTTTTTGCAGAGAGGAGTCATGACTCAAATCTTTTGGAGCTCTCTGAAGGGACCAGCAAGCATGTGGGCAGGGGCAGTTGGATTGATGTAGCTTAATTGCATTTACAAATGGTATTTGATAAAGTCCCTTTCTGAAAAGATTCCCGACAGAAATAAACTGCCCATGTGACTATCTTTCTTTCCCTTGAGCAAACAGCAGAGCAGGAGGCGGAGAGGAGTGGGCTGTGATGGGTTTGTGGAGGTGGTGCAGCCTCATGGCCCTGTGCCACTGCTCAGGGAAAGGGGGCTGTGAGGTGCCCAGGTGGAGAGGGGAGATTAAATCCCTGAGAGCACGTGAAGGAAAACAGCAAAGGATTATTGAGGGTCCTTGTACTGAGTGGTAAAGTGGTAAAATGTCAGATAAAAATGCGTGGAGATAAATCTAAGAAAATGCATCTGAAGGGAGGATCATACTTTTACATGTGTTTCTTCTGATTGTCTTGGCACATGAATGAGCTCTGTGGAAATGTCAGTGGTCAGAAATAGTAAACTGAATCCTAAAAACTGTTAGGAAAGCAGAAGAAAGCAAAACTTAAAATATTCCCATCTGTTTTTGGAATGCCATGTGCAGCGCTAGTCCCATTCATAAATAAATAAAAAGGTGGTTGAGCTGAAAAGGCACAGGAAGGGGATGTAGTGATGACCCAAGTTGTGAAAGGGTTTCTCTGTGAGGGAACTTACCTAGGCTGGACTCCTTTCACGAGGAGAGAGTGAAGAGGGATACTACAATGGAGCAAGAGGAGACAGTTTTTTTTCTGTTCTTCTGATGCTCCTTGGTTTTCACAGTGGGTGAACTTAGAGGGAATTACTGGACAAGTTCATGAAGAAAAAAGTCATTGTTAGAAATATGGAAAGTGCTGTTCAGAAAGGGCCTTCAGCCATAAGCTACTGGAGTTTAGGAAGTTGTTTCTTTCAGTGAGGTATTGTTCCATATTTGTCTATTCCTAAACCTATTCTTTAGCTGTTTGCTATGGCTGTTGAAGACCGTGCTGGGTTAGATGGAGCTTTGATCTAATCGGGTACAGTTCCTCTTTCCTTATATCCATTGTTGAGCATCTCCACTGAGGAGAGAAATTAGGGAGAGTGCAGAAGATGAAAATAAGTCTGGAATGTAAGGTCTTCGAAGATCTTTTTGTTAAAAATGGCAAGACTAAGGTGAGTTACGATTCTTTGAAGTGTTCTTTTTCCCCCCGCCCCGTATCCTCAGTGAATGGGACAAGAATGTGTGCAAATCACAACACAGAGATTCTAATCAGATACCAGGAAAAAATAGATACTTAGGAAAAATTCCTAATATCCAGGGCAGAGAAACATTGGGAGTAGGTTGTCTGGTGAGCTGTGACGTTTCCATTCCTGTACCCTGCACAAACCAGGTTATCAAGTGTCTGTCAGGCATGGCTGAATAAGAGTTGGACCTGCACTGACTGTGGGTTGGGCTTGAAAATCTGTTGAAGTGTCTTTAATTTATGAAAGACTACAATTGATTGACTGGTTTGTTTTGGACTGTGCAGAGGTGTTTCAGATGTGTTATTCATTGCTATGCCATGTTGCCTGATTTGCACCACTTAAACAACTGCTTATGATTCAAGATTGTGGTTTCCTGGGGCAATGTGTCTGTTTGTTGTAAGTTTGGTCGTTTTCACGCTGTGAGTCTGATAATTAAAACTATCAATCTTAAATCTGTTAACATTAAGAAACTTTTTAGTTAGTTTCTTGTTTCCTTCTTTCCTTTTGTTTGTTTCTGCCTGCCCCCAGCTGTTTCTTTTGTTATGTACTTGGAACAACCCTGAAACCATTTCCCCTTTCAGGGACATTCGGTTGAAGACATTTGAATGTTACAATAGGATTCGGTGATTTTTGAAATCCTGATTAATATGACATTTTAACAGATATCCGTCTCTAGGCAGCAATGTGTTCTGTAACTTGAAGGAGGAGAAAAGGTATATGACAGAGGTGTGATCTGAATATGGGGCTTTCTTACTGTTAGCTTTCTTCTTTTCTGTGCAGTGCTGGGCAAATAATCATCATTTCTTTGGTGACATTTTGGGGATCTGTAAACTATCACAAAGTGGAAGAAAACGGTTTCAGCTTTAAGAATGTTTCTCCTCTCAGAAACAAACGTAACTGTAAAAGATGAAATCTCGTATTTCCAGAAGAGCAACTGTTTGTTTA